ACTCAATTATTCGAACTTATTGATGTTGGTCGAAAAAATTGAAGTTGAATCAATACTTCAAATGTTAACAGACCGAGGTGCTCGTCTTGAAACTTTTATTATTGAGAATGTCCGTGTATATAATTATAATGAAGTTTATGGATTATGGACAAAACCACGCTATGCCTCAATACTCAATACCCTTATTCGCGTTGAAGTACATTTCCCTTTTATGAATAATGATTTCATAAAGCCATTAGCGGAAAATTGCACGAGACTGGTATGTTTACACTCATAAATAGTGTGTTTCATGCACTTTTTTCAAAAAAATTTTTTTCTTCGATATTCTCATTATATCTTGAGAACCATCACTCTCGGTAAATCTTTAATATTTTGAATTGCTTCCTCCAGTCCCATCTCGATATTAATATTTACAATGACTACAATAACTGTAAATTTGCTGAAGAATCGATCAATTCTCTTGAGAAACTCATCTCTGCTCAGCGATACCCTTTGAATCTTCGGTTGGAGTTACCAAACGGACCTGGGGACATGCTTATCAAAGCATTTCAGTCCCGACTTGAATCTTTTAATCGACTTGAACTCATAAAATGGAACTTTTCCGGATGTGATTGGAGTTGGTTAAATAATTGTCCAAATTTGACCGAATTTGCAATTACAAATTCTTCACTCTCTAGAATTTTGAGTACAGAGCATAGACCTGATTATTTTAAACCATCGAAAAATAATTGGATAACTGAACATTTGCGATTTTACAAAAGTGCCGGAATATCTTCAATGCCAAAATTTTACTTTCATCCCACTGTAATTCAACGACCGCTCAGGATAATCCACCAACCAGAGAATTCTTCGATCGCGCTGTTGCGTAGTAGAATCGATAGAATCGAAAAATTGGTTAATGAACTTTCAAATATAACGAATAAAAAATTCGAAGAAATTCCCCAAATTCCCCAAATTCCCAGAATTCCCAAAAATCAAAGAATTCCCATAATTCCCAAAAATCAAAGAATTCGAAGAATTCCCGGAATTCCCAGAAATCAAAGATTGTTTGTATCAAGAGAATGAAAATTATTTATTTATGTAATAAAATAAAAGAATCTGGTTTTTTTCTAATGACATCAATATGTGTAATATTAGATATGTATTTAATGCTAAAATCGGGAAAAAGCAATCAGAATTGGACTTGAATTGCATTTGGGTGAAAGCTAGAATCTACGCAGTTAGATAATTCAACTTGCAAGCTTTTTCAACGTTTATTATTTCTATATATATTTACTTTTACTCTTTCATGGAATCAAAAAATATTTCGGGTGCTATAATTAGGCCAGTAAATACTTATATATAATGTAGATTATTTGATTTATTGTAAATGAATTTTAATCAATGTATTTTAATCAATGTATTTATTTGTGATATTTTACAAGTCTATTATAAATATTATAAACATTATTAAACAAAATAAAGAAGAGAATTAAGTTTAATATATAATAAGGAACGTAACAATTTCTGAGGTTAAACATTTTATAATCTCACGTTCGTACATAAAATTCTTATTTAGATTGTTAGATTTCCTCGTTTTTTTAACTTAAAAATAAATATATATGTAAATAATAAATATTAACCAAGCGAATAAATTTAAAATTTGTGTGAAAATGAGTCAACTCGATCGTATATCTTTTTTTTTTTTGTTTATAAATTATTCGTAAAAATTGAAAGTTTCTCAGTTTTAAAGTTTTACATTTAAAATAACTTATTTCTTGTTTTCTTTAATAAGATTTTTTCTAAGACTATTATTCTGGTTAATTATATCAATTATTTTTATTTTGACTTATAATAAAATTTCATTTTGGAGAGAAGTTCCGTTGACTAAAAAAAACTTGCGAAAATTTATTATTATTTTTTTTTTTGAGCCAAATTAATTACGGCATAACTGTGTCAGGTATTTTTTCAAATTTATTCATAAAAGTAAATTTCGGCAAGGATTAAAAATTTATTATAGTACTAAATTTAAATATCATTATAAAAGTTAAAATGGCAGTGGAAGAGCTTCAGTGCTCTCATAGTGCTTTGCCAATAATTTATAATTCAATATATCAAATAAATAAGACATCTTTCATATTCTCTAATTGTTCTTTTCTTTCTTGGTAATCCAAATCCCGCATATAATGATGGAAAGGAATATTCCATATGATCGTGTCATGTTAGAGCTAGAAAGGTAAATTCTTTAAATAAAAATAATTAGGAATTATTTTTTTTTGACTAATAAAAATATAGACTATTGAAACGCTACTCTAAATAATGTCAATTAATTTATTAATCTATTTTTTATCATTTATCATCATCATTTAGACATAAAAAAACTTTATATAAAATGTTTGCGCTTTTAATACAAAAAGTGCACCGTCACGTGATATCATTGTTAAATATTGAGGTGGCACGAATGCCACGGGGAATGCTGTACGAGGATTGCGGAAGGTTACGAAGGTCACAAGGGAGAATAGAAA